GCATTTTGTGTTAGCCAGCCACTATGGGCAGTTGTCTATCTGTTTATGGAGTAAGCTAGCTCTTGAAAGAAAGAAGTATTCTGATATTGACAAGAGCATCTGTATGTCCAGCGTGCTCTGAAATTTAATGTTCTCCATTACTGCTTTCCAGCAGAGGGCAGTGCTATACCATCTCCATTTTTTGCTTGTAATAAGAAAAATGGTTTACATTGCCGGATGCCCTGGAAAAGAAAACTATAGACAATTTAAGCGGTTGGACGAAATCAGAGGTTCAGAAAAACTGCAGTCCAGAATTTTGATCATGTTTCCTCTGAGAAATCCAAGCCAAACATTCAGATTTATAATTTCTTATATGTACAAATGTACCAATCAGCAGAATTGGGAAGTATTTCCCTTGAGGCAAGCTGGATTCCTGATGACTACATGGACATGTCCACGTTGTTTTCTTAAGGAAAATACAGAAGTGATTTGCCACTCCCTCCTGTTTTTTTGTTTTTGTGTCTAATCTACAGTAGTCTAGTCTAGAGCACTAGAGTAATTTTTCTTCCAAGAACTAATCAGGTCCTGCTTAGATTTTTCCAAGATCAGCCAAGACTGTCTGGTAATTTCTACAGATAATGCATGTCAAAAATTGGACAGCTGCACTAGTGCTGAAATGATAGTTCCTAATCCAACTTTCATTGCAGTTTTGCTATTTGACAGAGATCATTAGAGTGGCCTCCTCCTCCTCCTCCTCCTCGGCTTTTTGCGCTAACAATACTAATTTCTTTTCCTTCCTAGCATTTTTCCCTCAGGTGCAGGGTCTTTTTTTTTTTTTTCCGGATCAACCAAATGTTGATCCATCAGTTGTGAGAGGAATTGATGCCATCCTGGGCTGAGAGAGAGTGACTAAACGCTCCAGCAAATGTTTTGGTAAAAAAACTGGTGGGAGGGAGGAAGGAAAGGAGAGATTACATCCTTTAGGGAGCCAGAATTCATTTCCTTTACAGTCAAAGTTTATGCTTTATAGGAAGCAAAGAGTTTCATTCCCATAAGACATAAACATAGAATTCTTCTCTAGCAAAGTTTTTCTACTGCAGTTGTGTCATTTATATCTTAATGTAAATATTCGTCTTTGTGTGTTTTTAGGAACATTATGACAGCATCCCTGTAATCTCTCACATATACATATTTCCTCCTCCTTGTAACAACTAAGAGAGTCTCTCTATATGTGGACAAGGCTTAATATTTAGCTGTACAAGATTTGTGTGTGGTGCACATACAGAAAGACAGACAAGTAATATGCAGTTTCTTTACGTACTGCTAGTCATCTGAAATGTTCACCTACAACATTAGAAGACAAGCAGAAAAAAAAAGTTTAAAAGTACTGCAGGAAACTTTTTTATCAGAGTGACTGCTGTCTGTTTGAGTGGCTGCTCCAATCATTTTCCCAGGGCACCCCTCAGAAAAGAGCTGGCCTCTTCATATCAATTTGCTTATATACATAGTAAAAAAAAGTGTGGGCAAAAAAAAACCTCTGGAAATTTTTGAAGTAGAAAAACAAAAGGAATCCTGTTTAAACATTTTAAAATGGAATCAGGATTTTTTATTTATAAGTGAATATGTAAGTGAATGATCATTTCCAAATGAGACTCCTTAATTCTGACTTCTTTTTTTTTTTGCATGTTGTACACAAGCCCTTTTTATCCTTCCAAGTGCTGACCCAGACAGTTCTTCCTCCACACCTGAAGAAACATTTTGAAGGGAAAAACAACTTTGCTGCATCTTAATCTTGTTAATCTTTTAACAAGATTGCTCTTGCAAGCTAACTAGCTTTGTACAGTCTAGACCGTGTAATCTCAGTCTTCCCAATTGTTGTCCTTTTAAAACACAGACTGTTTTTTTCAGATTAATAGAGTGACAATAAATGGATAAGCAGATAATATGATGCATCATATGTATATTTATCTGCCTGTCAGTGAAAAACTATACACTTACCCCCCCCAAAAAACATGGCAAACTTTACCCTAGAAGGAAGCAATGTAGCAATCAAACACCCCAAAGTCATTTGAGATCTAGCAATAAAAAGTGCTCTGCTCACCTCATCTGTAGTCACAGCAAGGAAACTGCGACTCTTTTTCATGTCCTCTTCCAGCCTGATGAATTTAGTATTCCTTCCTTTCGAAGATCTCCCAGTTCACCAGCTAACAGCCATTACAGCTGCAAAACTCCTGAGTAGGCAGGGGGCTGAATGAAGGAAGTGCCACCTCCTGAGACCTGCAAGGGAGAAGAGCAGCAGAAGACTTAGAAGATAAAAACTGGCTTTTATTGTTAATATTCTGAGTTTCTTCAAATCAAACCTAGAAGATCCATCATGTGATAGCTTGTGGATGCACGCACAGCAACAAATCCTGGTAGCACATTAAACTAGTGTGACTCTACTCAATTTTGGTACTTTAATCAAGGATGAGCAAATCATAGCTAGGATATGTGAACAAGCTAGTGTGACACAGTTAAGCCAATTTCCTTCCTTTCATACTGCCACACTCTATATTACTGTATGCTACTGACGCACAGTGGTATACAGTAATATAGATAGACAACCTAACAAGATCACATCAAAACAAATACAAAGCATAATAAATTCATTCAAACCATCAGCTGACCTAACGATTCAATCCCATATGTTAAGATATGAGGTAAGCATCTCTATGACCAGATCTTAGCTAAAAGCTCTTCCAAATAGTGTCATTTTACAGCTCTCCTAAACGTCAGGACCAATAGTGACATCTGGATTTCTGGTGGGAGGCTGATCCAATAAGTAGGTGGCACTATAGAAGAACATAAATTTCTTTTTCTCTTCCAAATCTCTTGTAGGAGAAGAACCCTCATTATCCCTTTGTGGCATGAATGCACTGGATGGACAGGATCCAAATCAAGCACATGGTCCTGCAGGTACCAAGGTGTCAAGTCATATAGAGCTCTACAGATCAAAACCAACACTGTGAATTGTACCTGAAGTGTGTATTTGGGAACTAATGCAGAGCCTGGAAATGCTACATACAAGTAGTGGCTTGGGACCAGTGGTAGCTTGCAAATAGCCTTCAAAGACAATTCATGCAGGATGCTCTGTAATAATCTAACTAAGAGGTGACAAGGGCATGAATCACTGCTAAGGTCTCCTTCTCTAGGAAAGAATGCAACTGGTGCACCAGCCAAATCTGGGCAAAGTCCCCCTCCCCCAACATGGACTATTCAGGATTGTCTGTGAATCTAAAAGGACCCCCAGGTAATGGACCTGCTCCTTCAGTGACTCCCATCCAGAATCACTACTGGAGTAGTTATAGAGCCAAATGGTTTCTAGACAAGTAATCTCCATTTATTGTTTGGAGGTGGAGATATAAATATGAGTATCCTCAACATGGATGGATGATCTCTCTCAGCAACTTCACATCAATGATAAACAGCAGAGGAGAGAGGGAGAAAACCTGCAACACTCCACAATAGAGTAAGTGACTGGTAAATCTTTCCTCTCCCCATTACTGGCCTGGAGCTGCCCACTCAGAAAGGAGCAATACTATTGAAAAAAAGGGCCCCTGATTTTCAATCTTTGCAGATGACCTAGAGGGCTACCATCTATATACTACTAAAAGTCTCATTGTATTTATCTGTTTGCCTGTTTGTACCCTCAAGTTATCCCAAACGGTGCATTATACCACAACAATTTTTGAATCAAGCTACATAAATGATCTGAGGAGCCATCTTGCCCCTGTTATATCAGCCCGCCTCACTCAGTCTGGCAGAAGGGCCATGTTGCAGACCCCACCAGTCAAGGAATTTTGACTGGTGGGATCTAGGAAGAGGGTCTTTTCTACTGTGGCTCCCACTCTGTGGAACAACCTACCTCCCCAGGTGCGGTGTGCCTCATGGCCTTCAGGAACGGTGTGAAATCCTGGCTATGCCAAAAGGCTTGGGGGCCAGATGGGGGCTCATACCAGTGGAGGTGGCTTGGGGGGGTAATTGATTTTGCCCCCTTGTCATCTTGAATGTTTTTAGTATTTATGTATAGGT